AAAAAAAAAAAAGTGACTTTTAGCCAAAGATAAATAACTAGTCTAGTCATCATGCACTAATAACTAGCTTAATCATAATGACAGACATTTTTGGAAGAAATTTTTTATGTAATATGAGTCATCAACTACTTGAGAAATTTGCTTAATTGGATTCCACTCAGAAGAAGAAAAAAAAAAGGTACATGCTGCAAATAAGAAGAAAAAAACCACATAATTTTAAGGGGAAACACCTAATTTTCTATGTTTAATTATTTCTTTGTTTTTAGACAATAAGTAAATAAATTTATACTTTGTTTAATTACAATTTAAATAATCATTTTACAACATAACTATTTTTGCTGACTACTTTAACCCAAGGTGTACCTTCACCATCATTCTTAACACTTGACACGTATCTATAGACATAACTATAGTTAACTATTTGCTTTATATTTGTGGAATCATGGTTATATCCATGAACACGTGTTCAGTATTGAGAAGGACAATGATGGTACACCTTAGGTTAAAATGGTAAGCAAAAATACTTACCTAATCTACATCTTCTCTATCAAATCTTGCACAAAGGCATTATTGCATATGCATATTTGGCAACTACTTGCACCACTCGTTTTCTTTTTTAATATGTCACCTCGAGATTTTAAATCTCCTAATGGACGAGTCAAAAATGAAGGCAATTTGTTCACCAAAAAAAAAAAATGAAGGCAATTTTTCCTTGAAAGGTTCCACAGAGTAAATTTTGTCTTATTGAAATGTTGAAGTTTTCTAGGCATTTGCTTAACCATTTGTCCCATCGTTTAGAGTGAAATTTTTTTAACAAGGTAAATTTTGAAAGCAATGATGAGCATGAAATGAGATTTAGTAAAATAAATCAAATTTATACAACTTTTTTTTAGTACTGCTAAACAAACCCTAGATTAAAATATTAAATTAATTAAGTACACCCTATTGAACTACCAAAAATACCACTGGTACACCCTAATACACTCTATCACACAACACCCTAATACCAATTCTAAATCAAGTTTCTCTTTTTACATGAAATCGTGCCCTCTTTTCAGATTTTGGGTTCGCATCAAAATCTTTTATTTCGTAAGCTGTTGTGGGAGTAGATTTGCTAGCCCCTTCAATTCAAAGCTTGATTATTGTAAATATTTGTGATTTTCTTTGAAATATATGGAGGGGATTCAAACATCTCTGTCAAATTACTAGTGAAAGGCATTATCACCGGTCTGAAATCCTAGAGAATTTTGGATGCTTCTAAGTTAGAAGAAAAGTTTAAACTCTAGGATTTTAAAGTCATCCACAACTTTATTGTATGGATGATGTTGAGCTAAGAAGTTAGACGAAACAAACTTTTTCATTCAAATAGGGCTGCCCATCTTTTGCATAAGGAAGAATCAAGTACATGGAGAAACACTGACCCTTGTCTTTCGCTGTCTTTGTAAGGAAACTCTAAGCCTTTGAAGCATCAAAGACCCTTAAAATTATATGAAAACTTCTCTATGTTTGATTAGGGTTGAATATGGTGACTAAGGTGTACTTATTAAAATTATATTTGTTTCACAATTCCATATATCATTTTTGGTCATTTTATATTAGGGTAAATTAATAATTCAATAAATACTTTGGTAATAGGATGTACTCAATTAATTTTATGGTTTATTTAGCGGCACCTTTTTTTTCTTTTTTCTTAAAATTCAAAAAGAGCTGTGACTTGATCATTGAAGACTGGTAAGGTAAGCAGGGCCTACAGAATATTCACCTAATCCATTGTCTATTAATAATATACCGAGTGACAACTTTAAAGCATTATATTATTATATCATTTTTGGTCATTAAAATACATACTTTAATGACTAAAATTAGTCCAATCAAACATTTATGTTTAAAGAGTCAGAAGCACGCAACACTAGCTGACGCTGCTTCTTGTAATCTTGTTCCTCCTCACAAACAACCAAACAAATCCAGATAATCTAAAAATATTGAAACTTCACATTTCATCTTCTTCTCCAACATTTTCTCTCCCTTTTGGTCTCTTTGAGAATCAGCCATGGCATTGCAGAGGCAGTTCTTAAAGAAGGCACTAGGGGAAGCCAAGAACAAGATTGGTGGCTACCATTTTCGTCAC